TAAAAGGCTAAGCGACCATCCGACCAGTAGCTATGATAGTCAATGACCACCAGGGGGTAGACGCTCAATGCAGGAGCTGCCAAGCTGTGGTCACTTGGCAGCTGTGGTTCTCATATGACGCATCCCGGAACCAAAGAGGAGGGAGCCCAATTCCAGGGTGCTTACCCGAGAACTGCCTTCTTGCAATCGGGGACCCCTTGGGGGATGTCGGAGAGCCAGTTTTGGCCCGATCCCCACAGGCCAGACCGAGAGACCTCACCTGCCAGAAGGACCCCTGCTCACTCCGTCAATGCCCTTTGAGCCCTGGCACTGCCCCAGGTGTGGCCAGCCATGAAGGACCGCGGGAGGTTGGCTCCAGGGCGTGTCCAGCCTGTCTCGCCCAGTCCCGCCCTTCCAGCCACCTTCTAATTAATTTTCTTCCAATGTGCACGAATCCATATATATTTAAAAAAATAACTTCAATTAGGTCAGGTATTAAGTATAGGTTTGGTATCATGGGCTTTAGCACAAGTGATGCCATTTGGGGCCTGTGGTTTTCTCTCTCACAATTTACACACTGTTCTTATATATGATGTATATTAATATATAGGTAGAAGTTTGAAAGAGATGGGCTGAGCCCTGGCTGGTGTAGCTCAATTGGTTGAGCGTTGTCTTGTGCACTGAAAGGTTGCCAGTTCGATTCTAAGTCAAGGCACATGCCCAGGTTGCAGGCTAAATCCCTGGTGGGGGTACATGTGGGAGGCAGCCAATTGATGTTTCTCTTTCACATTGATGTTTCTCTCTCTCTCCCTTCCTCTCTCTCTAAAAATCAATAAAAACATTTTTGAAAAAAAGATGGCAAATTTAAATAATAGGTTATTTACTGAGTACAAAATTTTGCTCTTACCAAAGTAAGTTACCAATATTTTAAGGAGAGTGATGTGATTGAATATATATCATTAAAAAAATCTTGGTGGTAACACTGTGATTCAGCAATTCATATTCTGCATCTGAGTCCAGCTCACACTTTCCCTATGTGGACTATGTCTTTGTTTTTCAGTCCCTTCCATGGAGCATACAAATGTTTGTGGAAATTCAGCTACTGAATTCCTCTTTCCCCTGATGTTAAAAAAAAAGGCCCTAGCCCAGTGGTTCTCAACCTTGGCTGCACATTAGAATCACCTGGGAATCTTTTTAAAATCCTGATTTCTGGGCCTCATCCTCTGGAAATTCTGTTCCTTTGTTACTAATATTGTGGTCTCACCCCATAACAAAGAAACAATTTCCGGAGGATGAGGCCCAGAAATCAGGATTTTAAAAAGATTCCCAGGTGATTCTAATGTGCAGCCAAGGTTGAGAACCACTGCAGTAGGGACTTGTATCCATTTGATTGAACAGTGAGGCCTAAGTCCTAGGTGTACAGTTATGCAGTGCATGCTTCAGTCAATGACAGACTACATATATGACATGGTACCATCCTATCTAATAGAGAGGGAATATGCTAATTGAGCCTCATGCCGTTGCAAAGATGGCAGCGTCCACAGCCAATAAGGAGGGAATATGCTAATTGCTGCCCCGCCCTCAAAGATGGCAGTGCCCACAGCCAATAATGAGGGAATATGCTAAGTGCCCTACCCTCAAAGATGGCGGCATCCACAGCCACAAGGTGGCAGCGTCCAGTCCCCTCAGCCCCACTGGGGCGGCAGGTGCATGGCAAGGCCAGGCCCGCCTGGGAGCAGGCCCGGTCTTGTCATGCGCCTGCCTCCAGAGTCCCCCAGTCCCCTCAGTCACCCAGGGCCGTCTTGAGGTGCAGGCAAGCCTTGGATGGCAGCTGCCCAGCCGCCCAGGGCCATCCCGAGGCACAGGCAAGCCTCAGATGGCAGCTGCCCAGGCCCACCCGAGGCTCAGGTAACCAGGGTCGGCGGAGGCTTGCTTTGCCAGCAGTGGCAGCAGCACAGGTGTGATGGGGCATCACCTTCCCGATTGCCGGGTCACCTCCTGCCCCTGAGGGCTCCCAGACTGAGAGGGGGCAGGCCGGGTTGAGGGACCCCTCCTCCAGTGCATGAATTTTCATGCACCGGGCCTCTAGTATTATAAATGGAACTGAAAAATTCCTATTGCCTAGTCATGTGTAGCCTAAAACATTACTCATGTTTGTGGTGGTGCTGGTGTAAACAAACCTATGCTGCCAGTCCTATAAAAATACATAGCACATACAATTGTATGGTACATAATTCTTGATATAAGAGACTATGTTACTGGTTTATGTATTTATTATTTACCATTATTTTAGAGTGTACTCTTTCTTCTTGTAAAAAATGTTTGCTATAAAAGAGTATGTTAGGCTGGCAGCAGCCTTGTATATCTAATGTTTACCATGTCTCTAGATTGTATTGTTTTCTCTTGTGCTTGATTTAATCTCATGTTTTAGAAATTTAGTATAATATAAGTGTATAGTGTTTATAAGTCTACAGTAGTGCAATGTCCTAGGCCTTCACATTCAGTCACCACTAACTCACTGACTCACCCAGAGCAACTTCCAGTAGTGCAAGCTCCATTCATGGTAAGCTCCCCAAACAGGCGTACCATTTTTTCTTTTATACCATAATTTTACTGTACATTCTCTATGTTTAGATACACAAATACCATTTTGTTACAGTTGCCTACAGTATTCAATAACATGCTCTATAGGTTTGTAGCCTAGGAACAATAGGCTATACCATACAGCCTAAGTGTGTAGTAGGCTATACCATCTAGGTTTAAGTGCACTGTGATGTTGTTACAACAATGAAACTGCCTAACAATGTATTTCTCAGAATGTATACCTGTCATTCAGTGGTGCATCACTTCTCACTGAAAACACAAAATGGTTCTTGTTTGAATGTGTATTACGAAAATTTGGGGAGAAAAGTACATGACCACAGTAAATTATTCAAATGGTATCTAAGGCAGGGATTTTAAAACTGAAGTTCATGGATAGAATTCAGATGTCTGAATGCAGGCAACAAAATGCAGAAGTATTAGCAGTACCTCTGACTTTGTCACCAATAGAAATCACAGATTTGTTATTGCAGCTATCTCAAAATACTGTTGATAGTCATAACTACAAAATCATGGTGGTTTTTATTTTATTACTAGTGGCCTGGTGCACAAAATTAGTGCACATTAAAAGGGGATTAATTAGAGGAAATATTTTAATATTGCTATTTGCCCTTTCTCTATAATAGAAGTGTCAGAGATGAAAGAAAATTAGTAAAATGTATATGAAAATCTTCCTCCTGTCAGAGTCTGGGGCGCACCGCGGGACCCAGAGTCAAGTCCCAACCCACCCACGGCACCTCAAAATTGTGTGACACCCAGACCCAGCCGGCCCCACCCTTGTCAAGTCCCGCTGGGTGGGGGTGCAGCCTCAGGTCCCCTGTCAAGCCCCACTGGGCGG